GCCAAGTGGCCTCGGCAGCCACATGGCCCGTGGCCATGGGAACTCCACATGAGCTCAGGGATGGAGCCTGAATATCACAGCACAGCAATGGACTGCAGCTGGAAACTCATGCTAAACTAGCCAGATGCCGGACTAAGCTGAGCTGTAATATGGCACAGGATCTCTGGACATGGATTATTTTTGGCAATGATATTCTGTGGTGGAATGGAGGAAAATGGAACATTGAAAACCTAGGGGTGGCTTCTATTTCGACACAAATAAACCATGCACCACCAGTCTCCCATGCATGGGTCCTTGAAATCTTTTCCTTGCGATCCCATGGAAGGGCCTAATTGCCACCTACAACAATTTAATTTAGGTTTTATTTATATTATTTCCCATAGATCGATATACATACATATTTCATCATAATTTATCCTGTTAACTCCAAAAAAATAAAATGTTATTCCACTACAGAACATTCATTATTCTATTTCATTACTTTCTAATTTTTTGATGTTCATTTTAACTACTTAATGCACCTGACATGTATTTTAAAAGAGTAAGAGAGAAATAACATTTGGTTATTTCTCAGTTGGTACTGGGACTTCCACCAAGTTGGAGGTGTAGGTGGAAACACTGTGCCTTCTCACACAACCAAGTTTAAAAACAACAAAGCTTTAGCAACAAAAATGCAGCCAAACCACAGAAAATTGAACTATACAAAAGTCTGACAACAACAAACCATTCAGTCAAACTGGTAAGAGGGGCAGAGCCAGCAGCAGAGCAGGGTCGAGCAGGAAAGATCCACCGGACCCACCAGTGTGTGACCCAGGTGCACAGGCTGCCGTGGGTGGATCCCAGGTGTGGAGTAGCAGCCAGCAGACCCACTGAGGGCTGACCGTGGTCACACATTCGCGCACAAATAATTAGAGAAGGAGCGAGCAGTGTGGCAGACCATGAAGGCCCTAGCAGCGGGAAGCAGCAGAGGGAACAACCATTGTCCCTTTCTGACCCCGCCCCCACATACAGTGTCACAACCCAGCGACCTGGGTGGCCCCGCCCTGGTGAACACCTAAGGCTCTGCTCCTCATACGTAACAGGCGTGAACAAAGCAAAACATTATGGCTCAAGAAGAACTCAAAGCCCCAGAGCCCATAACTCTAAGCAACCAAGAAATAGCAAAACTTTCAGATGCACAGTTTAAAACACTGCTGATCAGGATGCTAACAGAATTGGTTGATTTTAGCCACAAATTAGAGGAACATATGAAGGCTAAATTAATTGAAATGAAGGGAAATGCACAGGAAACCAATAGTGATGAAGAGGAAACTGGGACTCAAATCAAGGGAGTGGACCAGAAGGAAGAAAAAAATGACCAAACAGAAAAATATGAAGGAACAAGAACTCAAAAAAATGAAGAGAGGCTAAGGAACCTCCAGGACATCTTTATATATTCCAACATCCGAATTATAGGAGTACCAGAAGGGGAAGAGAAACAGCAAGTGGAAACCTTATTTGAACAAATAATAAAAGAGAACTTCCCCAATCTGGCAAAGGCAATAAACTTCCAGGAAATCCAGGAAGCACAAAGAGTCCCAAAGTTGGACTCAAGAAGAAACACACCAAGGCCTCATCATCATTACATTAGCCAAGATTAAAATGAAGGAGAGAATCCTAGAAGCAGCAAGAGAAAAGGGGACAGTCACCTACAAAGGAGTTCCCATCAGATTGTCAGTGGATTTCTCAAAAGAGAGAAAGTCTGGAAAGAGGTATTCCAAGTCATGAAATCCAAAGACCTACAACCAAGATTGCTCTATCCAGCAAAACTTTCATTTAGAATGGAAGGACGGATAAAGTGCTTCTCAGATAAGATCAAATTCAAGAAGTTCATCATCACTGAGCCCTTATTATATGAAATGTTAAAGGGACTTACCTAAGAAAAAGAAGATAAAAAAGATGAACAGTAGTAAAAGGACAGCAAACTCACAGTTATTAACAACCACACCTAAAACAAAAGCAAACTAAGAGGACAGCTAGATCAAGAGCAGAACCATAGAAAGGAAGATCACATGGAGGATTAGCAACAGGGGAGTGGGAGGAGGGGAAGGGGGAGAGGGTACAGAAAATAAGTAACATAGACAGTAGACAGAACATAGATAGGGGGAGGGCAAGAATAGTAGGGGAAATATAGAATCTAAAGAACTTGAGATAACTGGTCATAAACTAAAGGGGGAATGGTGGGGGAGGGGGTGTGCAGGGTGGAGGGGAATGAAGGGGGGAATAGAACAACTGTAATAGCATAATCAATAAAATATATTTTTAAAAAAGAGTTGATACTGAATTATTGATATTTCAGATCTTGACCTTTTATTCCACTAAGTGTTTAATAAATACTGGATACATTATACAGTATTTTATGTATTGATACTAAATAATATTTCTAATATCTAATGTGGAAGAGACTTTTTTATTGTTTCATAATCTTATATAATTTCTTTTAAATAAAGATTTTTCAAGTTTACTTTTTATTAAGCATCATAATACCAAGTCCAGTTTTGATATAATTATTTAAATTGCAATGTTTTATATGCATTACTTAGAACTTATATGTTTAGTAATACAAAATAGAAGGGTCTGGGAATATGTCCTATACATCCAATTATTCAAACTTTCATTTAAATTTAAATCTTCCAATGAAAGGAATATATAGTTTATATGTAAAGTTTCTATAAATAATAAAATTTAATCTTATCCCTAAATATTTTATATATTTTTTATTTGATAAAGATCTCCCTTACAATAAACTAACAAACAAGATAGCAACAGAAGCATAGATAGATAAATAGACCGACAGCTGCTGGAAAGGAGTGGGGGAGGGGTGTTAACAACAATGTGCAATTGGCTGGGGATGGGGAGGGATGGGCCTAGGTGAGAGAAGGGAAGAGGAGACAATTGGGAACAACTGTAACGGCATAAACAATAATAAAAAAGACACAAAATTATTTTTTAATTGTTGTTAATTACTGGAACGTTGAAATATATTTTATATCTTTGTAATACAACTAGATATTTATTAGTTTATGACTGATTTACATGTATATTCTAAGTATATAATTTTATATATGTATACACACACACTAAAATATACTACTAGCCAATATTTAGTTTTCACTTATTTTTCTTCCATTTTCACTCTCAATAAATCTAAATGCTTTAATAATAATATAGAAGTATTATTCCTGATTTTAAAATCAATCCTTCCTGCCCTGGCTGGTGTAGCTCAGTGGATTGAGCACGGGCCTGCGAACCAGACAATCACGGTTCGATTCCCAGTCAGGGCACATACCGGGGTTGCAGACCAGTTCCCTGCAGGCCACTTCCCAGCAGGGGACACACGAAAGGCAACCATACATTGATGTTTCTCTCCCTCTCTCCTTCCCTTCCCCTCTAAAGATAAATAAATAAAATCTTAAAAAAAAAAGAAAATAGACATGGCCTTTTTAAAAAAAAATAAAATAAAATAAAAAATAAAATCAATCCTTCCTTTTAAGACTCTCAAAGCAGCTATGTTTTTTTTCTTTAAAAATGCACACATGTAAAGTCAGTATACACATGTACATAGAGGTTCTTGTCTAAATGTTGCTATTAGTTGCAATACTATGTTTACTATGTTACTACTATGTTAATAGTATATTAATATTGTGTTAATAATATGTTACTATTTAGCAAAAAAAAGAATGTTTATATTGCAAAATACATCTATTAAGGTTGTGTTTTAAATTTTAGCAATTACTTTTTAGACATCTATTAAATTAATGCAAGTTAATTTTTAAATTTGTGATGTGGTATTATGTTAAAATTTTTTTCTGATATTGATATTTAATCTTGAATTCTAAGAGGGAAAACTCCCAGTTGTGCATGGTGTAGCATTTTCTAAGTGTAGCAGCTGAATTCATTTTGTTGTACTTTATTTAACGATCTATCTCTAAGATTAAGATCTTTACCATTGAATTCTTATCTTACCAGTGAGATAAGTGAGATATTGGTTTTGTCATTAAAAGAAACAAGAAAGTATTGATGTAGTGTGAGAAACTAGACACTTCAAGAAGTTATTGTAAAGGAAGACAGGGGAATATCAAACTCATGTAAAGGAATGGTTCTAAAAGGGAAATATCACACAAAAATTTTTCCTAGAGCAAGTCCAGTGGAAAATAGTCTCATTAAACAGTGTGGGGCAAAAGTAGGTTTTTGGTTATTCATGTGGAAAAAATAATACAACAATTAATAAATAATAACACAAGAATAAACTCTTTTGTGTACTCACAACTATAAGCTACCTTTGCCCCACTCTGTATTTTGTATTAAATTAAATTATAATCAAGGATAAATATAACCATCAGGAATATTTTCAAGTAACTATCTCTATAGTTGCTCTCAATGAACAACAGACAGTGAGCCTTTTAAAGACAAAGTATCATTTCCCTCGTTATTCCTGCAAATAAAAGAAGGCTTCCAGGGGCCTGGGTGAAAAGGGTGAAGGAATTAAGAAGTAAAAAGGGGTAGTTATGTAATAAATACAATTATATAAAGTATATCCTGAGGACATAGTCGATGGCATTTTGGTGATTTTGTATGGTGGCAGGTGGGCACTTGGGAGAACAGAGGGAGCACTTCACAGGGTGTGTGATTATCTGACCACCAAGCAGCACACTGAAACTGGTACAAAATAGTAATGAATGTGAAGCGTAACTGAAAAAAAACAGAATTGCACAATTAAAATCTATATAATTTTATTAACCAATGCCACCCCAAAAAATAATTTAGAAAGTGAGGACAAATGTTAACATGAAAAAAAAAGAGTGCTTTTGGAATCTGGTATTTCATTTCTGATTTTATTTTAATTTTTTCTATGTATGAAATTATTGAAGGAACTTATTCTTTGTATACTAAATTACTTGGTTCTTATTTGCATAAAAATTCAATTATGGATTCCTTCTCTAAATACTTCAAAACAAAGAATACTTACGTGGCTGGAGAAATGTGATCATGAAGGTGGTTTTCCCAGAGCGAGGCTCATCCCTGGCTTTCCGGATGTGCCGACCCCTGCAATTTCTTCAAACGTGGGACATGCTACTGCATAGTTTGTGGTGGTGGAGGACTGCATTCATACTCTTCCCTAGGGGGGAAAAATACCTGCAAAGAAAAATATTCTGGATTGCTGTAAATGTGGGAATCTTGCCTCTGAATTTTAACAAATAAGGTGGTCCTCCTCTTGTCAGTGACTAAAATTATTTAACATTCAAAACAATTTTTAATGCCCAAATCTTCCTTGATTCCACCTGCATCTTTGCAGGAACAGTGTGTTGCCCTGCCCACTTTCGAATGTATCTTTGTTCCTGATGGATATGATGGAATACACAGGTTTAAATGCAGGAGTGGGCGTGAGAGGGTAGGAAGACATAGTTTCCAGTCCTAAATCTGCTACTCACTAGCAGTGCCAGACTGAATGATGTACTGGAGGACTTCATTTTCTCTTTCTCAAAGTGAGAAATTGCCACTTCCTTCTCAGAAGGTTGGTTTGAGTTTTTATGGAAGAATGTGTTGAATCTCAACAAGATTCCTTCGTCTTCATTCTTTTCTAAAACTTTAATGTTTGTATGCATATTTACTATAGAATTCTTCTGTTACAATGCTTCGTCAGTTTACTTGAGGTCCAGGATGATGTTTTAGTCATCTTTGTGTCCCATGTTTGACTCAGTGAGTTTGGGGAGTCAATTACTGTGCTCCAGCTTCTGGGAATCAAAGAGGCCAGACAGTGCTGGCCCAGTTAATTCTTACCTTCCTTTAGGCATTTGCCTGCAGTGCCCCCTGCGGCGCTTGTACCTACCATGTTTGACCCCAAACATCAATACATGAGCACTAGTTCCTAACTAAGTGTTTTTGGTGACGTTGGAAGAAAATTAATTGATGTTGTTGTCTCATTGCAGTGTGGAAAATATATAATGAATTTTTCAATGATTTGATGATATAAAGATTTTATTCCTGTGTGTCTGATATCTATCTAGTGTAAATGTCACTCTGGACTGTGGCTCCCAACACTGCCACTTGGAGAAAGTTCCAGGAGCCTCCATTACTGGCAAATCCATGTGGAACTTCGACACAAAGACAAAAAGTTACAAACCGAGTCACTTCCCCTGAAAAAAATGGGGCAGTCCTGAGATTTTTAAGAAACAATATTTATTTATGTCTTGTTTCCCAAAACTACTTCCAGCCATCTCTCATTTTTCACAGACCAAACAAAATTGCTCTAAGACTTAGAAATCTCTAATAAGAGCCATGCTGGCGCTAGGGATTTCACTGAATACTTACCTAGCAGGAAAGACACCATGATCACAAAGGTGGTGATGCTCTCAGGGTGAGGTTCTTCCATTGCATTCTGATGTTTGACCCAGCAATTGCCCTAATGGTGGGAAACTCCACTGTATAATTTGTGATAGAGCAGCACTGCATTCACACTTTCCCCTAAAAAAAGGAATAATTTTCTTGAGGAAAGTACAGACAAACATTTCTTGAGTTTTATTTCAAAGTTGGGAAGGATTGAAAAGACCAATACGTAAGTTTATATTCATAGCAAATCATTAAGAGAAATCACCTCCGCAGAGCAGTAAATAATCCCTTTTTGTACCAAGATGGTAACTCTGGAGAGGAGAGGGAGGATAAGAAATGACTCAGGTAATACTGATGTTATTTTGATTTGGTACAGCTGTTACTATTATTGTTTATAATGGATAATCAAAGCACAACATTAAAATACATTCATAATTGTACAGAAAATGGAGCCTTTATCCCTGCAATTATCTGCCTGCCTTGGGGTCAATCTGTTGTTATCAGCATCAATTAAACTATTTCCCCGTGTGTTTGTTTGTTTTGTCCATAGGCTGAGGCAACCATACTACATTCAATTCCCATTAATAACAATCCTTCTAAAGGTCCAAAAGATATGTGGTATTTAGGCTACACAAGTCCACTTCAAAAGGGGCCAGAATTTTATCTCAGACATACAAAGTCTTTCACATGTTCCCATTAGTGTTTTTCCATTTTCCTACTTAGCAAAAATGATAGGTATTCATAAGGATTAGCTTACATATTTTTAAAAGGGCAAGAGAAATCTATTTGTAAGTCTGAAATACATTTTGTTTATATCTAGAATTGTTTATACTACTTCCAAAAGGATATTGTCCCAAGAGCACATGGAAATTTTATTATTCTTTTGAAATACAGTATCAAGTAATTTTCTTTCAAATTATATTAAATGTTTTATTTATAAATATTACTTTGTTAACATAATTGTTTAGTAGTTATGTCATTAAGTATTCTGCTTAGTAAAGGAAATAATGATTTAATTACCAAGATTAATGCTAACCAAATGCATTATGTAGTTCTTAATTATGCTTTAAAATATTGGTATCAATTCCTGGTATAAAGCACAAAGACATTGTTTGCTTTTGAAAATTAATCACATAATGTTAAGTTATTGTCAATAACATGTTTCTTTGGAACTCCAATAAACACCTACCTACAAAGTTCACTAGCTGGGGAAAAAATCAGTTGAAAAAAGAATGCTGTAAAGCTAAAAGAGAACATTTTACAAATCAATATAGATCCTCTTGAAATGGAAAATATGAGTTAATTATTACATAGCAAGAGTGTCTATCAAACGAAGTAATCTACTGGAAGCTAATGTAGATCAATCAGATGCTATCTATAATAGAATTAAATAATCAGATGCATAATCATTTTCCAATGAACAGTCACGGAATCAATTGCCCTTTCTTGATCTTTCGGTTATGGTTAGAATGTAATTGATAAAATCTTCATAAAACAATGCCAATTAAAATTGTATTTATGGAGGAGCTCTGAAAGAGGTCCCAATAGACATCTGAAACAATTTGAGCAAAAACAGATAAATACCAATTGTATTGGGTTTTAACAAGGATTAAGATAATTATCCTTGCATCTGTATTGATTTCATTGTTGTTTTTATACTTAGAAATTCATACAATACTATTAACTTTTTTCTCTTGACATGCACTTCAATGAATTTTAGTGTATGTATAGATTTGTGTAACCACCATCACAATCAAGATACAGAATAGTGTAATTACGAAACAGAATTCACTTGTGCTATCTTTTTATAGTCACTTCCCTCCTTGACTCTACATCTGGCAACCACTAATCTATTCCCCAAAACTATATATTTTTTCCTTTTGAAATGTCATACAAATGGAATCATACAGTATAAAACCTTCAGAAAGTGGCTTTTTCACTAGCCTAATAGCCTTGAGATTCACCTGAGTTGTTGCATATGCAGTAGGTCCTCCTTACCCATGGTTTCACATCGAGGGGTTTCAATTTTCCCAATTTCAGCTACTGGTGTTCGACCAAGTTCAAAAATATTAAATAGTTAATTCCAGAAATAAACGATTCAAAACTTTTAAATCGCATGATGAAATCTCACAATGCCCCACTCCATTCTTCCCCAAATGTGAATCACCCATGTCCTGCATATCCACACTGTATATTCTATACACCCATTAGTCACTGAGTAGCTACCTCAGTTATATGATCAATTATCTCGGTATCACAGTGCTTATGTCCAAGTAACCCTTATTTTACTTAATAACAGCCCAAACATGCCAGAGGAGAGAGTAATATGTCCTGACTTACAGAGGGACATATTCCTGCTGTAAGGAATATTCCTTTCTGGTGTTGCACCAAAAAGCACTGAGCCTATACAAAGACTTCAACACTGGATCCCTGAAACAAATCACTCCAAGACATTCACTGCAAGAGGCTGTTACACAGATTCTGGAACAGGATTGGCATTTTTCTCACCTCATAATACTACAAGAAGCAGAAAGGTGAATACAGTACAATACAATATTCTGAGAGAGCCAGAAATAGACCACACTCACATAATTTTATTACAAGCTATTATTTTATTTTATTATTAATAATTGCTGTAATCTCTCACTGTACCTAACAGACTTTATCATATGTATATACGCATAGGAAAAAAACATAGTTTAGTATATATAGGGTTTGGAACTATCTGTGGTACTAGGCATCCATTATGGGTCTTGGAAGGTGTCTACTCTGGACAAGGAGGTGCCACTCTATCAGCAGTTTGTTTGTTTTTTCTTGCCAATTAGTATCCCATTGTATGAATATGCATGGTTTATCTGTTCATCCACTGAAGGACATTTTGGTTTTTTCAGTTATTTTTTGTTTTCTGTTTGCAAATATGAATAGAGCTGCTATAAACATTTTTGCATAGATACTTGCATGGACATTGGTTTTCAGTTCTCTAGGCTTTACAGCCAGGAGTGGGATTGCTGAGTCATATGGTAAATGGGATATGTAACTTTATATGAAACCACCCAAATGTCTTCAGAGTGGCTGTACCATTTTGGATTCCCACCAAAAAATATGGTCTCCACTTTCTCTGAATGCTTGCCAGTCCTTAATATACCCAATCGTCTTATTTTTTAATTTAGTCATTGTAAGAGTTGTAGAGTGGTAACTTATTTTAATTTGCTCTCCCCTAATGGTTAATGAGGTGGAACATACAATCTCTTCCATCATTATATTTATTTTAAAAAATGTTTGTTCCAGTGTTCTGACCATTTTTTTTGTAATTGATTTTACGGCATTTTTTCCATTACCATTTATCCTCCTTATACTCCCCTTCTCCTCCCCCATGCAATCACCACACTGTAGTCCATGTCCATGAGTCGTTTCCTTTTTGCTCAATCCTTCCACCCCCAACCCCCTGCAACAGCTGTCATCCTGCCCCCCATCTATGAGTCTGTCTCTATTTTGCTTGTTAGTCCAGTTTGTTTATTAGATTCCACATATGAGTGAAATCATGGTGTTTATCTTTCTCTGACTGGCTTATTTCACTTAGCATAATATTCTCCAGGTCCATCCATGCTGTCCCAAAGGGTAAAATTTTCTTCTTTTTTACAGCTAATTAGTACACTATGGGACATTTATACAATGCAATACTACTGACCAATTTTTAAATGTATAGTTTATTTCCTGATCTGAATTTTCAGAGTTCTTCATACATTCTGAATATATTTCATTTGTTAGATGTGAAATTTGCAAATATCTGTA